TTCTATTTCTTTGTTTAACTTGGGTTGTTTTTACTTTATATGATCAGGCTTTGCTCAAGAAGAATCCATCAATTTCTCAATCTTCTAATGGTATATTGCAAATGCTTGTTCATATTACTATATTCTGTATTTTGTGCCTTTTCTGTTGTTATTTGGAGGCTAGCATGCTAAAACATTTGTGCGCAATGATTCTGTCATTGGAGGAATTATCTGCATCTGGTTGTCCAAGTGAATTGAATTATAACACAAACTATAATAGGCCGATGATTGAAAAATAAATTGAGTGATGTAAGTGTATAACTACGCTTTTGTTTGTTTGGAAGGGAAGGGAAGTGTGAGGTGGGGAGGAGGTACCCATCTGCAGCCTGTCTTCAAATTGAACACCAATAGGCATTTGGAATGCTTGTTTCCATTTTTAGATGTCGCTGATGGTTTTTTAAGACCCTTTACTGATACAGTTAGTAGTCTATCTGGATGTTCAATTGTGATTTTCTTCATTAAATTCTCAACTGTTTATAATGATATTTCCTTATCCAGTATGAATTGGAATCTCTCTTGAAAGTTAAAAGACTTGCAGTAAGAAATTCCTGTGTATCTAAACAATAAATTGTTTTCTGACCTAGGTTAAAAAAAAAGTCCTGTATATTGGAATGAAACATTTTATTTCTTATTTTCCCGAATGAATGGAGATATAACAGCATCATTCTTCATTTTTTCTTGCTTTGATTCTGAAGCTTTTGGAATTTCCTCCCGCAGTATTAATTGACTTTAATATTAAGCAAGTTGTGATTTTTCAACATGCAACCTTTTCTTTTCTTTTTAGAGGGGTCCATTAAGTTATAATTTAAAGCCTGAAACGTTTTCTTTATTAAGATTTGTGTACAGTGGACCTCAATGTAATTTTCCATGTATTTGTTCTCCTTTTAAGGTGATTCTGGACAGGTCACTAAGAAGCATTCAAAAGATTCGACAAATTCGGATGCCGAAGAGGATATAGATTGGTTAAGAATTTCTGAGATGCAAAAGAGGTATTACATTTGTCTGTAGATGCACAGCTATTGCTATTTTATTTTGATCTATTAGGTGAATTTATACAAATACCTTCTGAATTATTGATTGTTTAGATGAAGATCTCTCTCTCTCTCCCCCCTTTTGTTATTGTTTGGATTGACACCCTTTTTACTGTGTAAGTTATTGATAGACCCTTATTTTTTTTTTTATTTGGATTGACACTTCTTATTACCACCGGATGAAAGGTTTTATTGTTGTGAGTTCATTTGTAAGAATTTTAAACCCCACCATCACCTGACACTTTGTATATTTTTTTTTCTTTTGATTTTAATACATAAACTATGATTGGGGGCACCTTTATTAGGTTTCAGGCAATGTTAGTGACGTCATTACCACCAGATGAAAGGTTTTATTGTTGTGAGTTCATTTGTACATATTTTAAACCCCACCACCACCGGATTTTAATGTTTAAAGGCTTTAAAATTTTAAATTGAAAAAATAAAAACTCAAATTTTTGAGTTTGATTGGAGTTTAATAATGGATTTTGATATCAAAATGTTGTGAGAGAGGTTGAAAGGATTATTTTAGTGGTCTTTTGGGTTGATTTAGTTGTCAAAAAGGTAAGAGTTTCGATGGTGGCAAAAGTAGTGCTAATCCAAACACATCATAGATCACGTATTAAAATCAAAATGAAAAGAATATGGAGGTTGTCAATCCAAAAAAAAAAGAATAAGGAACTTATTAATAGTTTAACATAGTAAAGAGTTGTCAATCAAGAAAAAAGAAAAAACAGAAAAGGAGAAGGGTTCTCCATCCAAATGACCACCAATTCAAGGACTGTTTGTACAGATTCCCTGAGCAGTTAATAGAGCATACAGATTTAAAATTTAAAATGCTCCTTCCTCCTTTTCATATTGGAAAACTAGCGTTCATACTCGGGATATGTTTCAGCTAGAATTGGGATGTGAAAAACTGCTGTGGATATGAACACATGAATTAAGTATTAAAACTTTAAATGCATGTATCTTGTAGAATAGCTCCTTTCCGAAACAAATCAATAGATAAATGGCAGAGAAAGACACAGGTGACAACTGGTGCTGCTGCTATGACCGGAAAATTGCAGGCTTTTAATCAGGTTTGGCTCTACAGCTGATGATGCCATTATGCTGTCCAGGGTATGATGAAACTCACTGGATTTTACTTTTCCAATCACAGAATATCAGTGAACAAGTTGCTGCTTATATGAGGGATCCAACTAAAATGGTCAGGCAAATGCAACAACAAAGATCAACCATTGGTGTTTTTGGAGCTGTAAGATTGGCATTTTTTCGTAGTTTAGTCTAAGAAATGATGCAAAATTCATGGTATGATGAGCTCAGATTTTTTTTCCTTCTGCTGTTACTGACTACCTGAATTTTACTAATGGGCAGGTTCCCGAGTTGATGAGCAATGCCAGGGGAGAGGTAATCCTGTGAATGAGTAATTTGTATATCATTTTCCCATATTAGTTCAAACTTGGTAAGTTTAGGTATTCCACATTTGCACCTAGTAATGTGGCTAAGAACCAAGCTAGAATCGAGATATGGAGTGAGAACAGCTAAGCAAAAGGCCTAAGCAGACACTCAATTGAAGTCAGGTTACATCTTATCAGCTAACGAGTGAAAGTGTTTCTGATAGATCCTAATATTGATTGCCTGATTCTACGGACATGATATTTCCCTGGAGGCCTTTTCTCTGTCCTCTTATTTTGTCTGGGAAATTCTCTGTTCTTTTTCTTTCTTTTCATTATAACAAAAAATTTTTTATGGATATTGCCAGCCTAACAGTTTTGCTGAATCTTTCAATTCTAATTAGGAAACATGTCCCGATGGTGATCCTGAACTTCTAAATGACACCGAATTTTATCAGCAGTTACTGAAAGAATTTTTGGAGAATGTCGACCCCTCATCCACCGGTGAGTATTCATTCTATCCCGTCCTATTTGCTTATATTCATAATTGGTGTGGAAACTTTCACCATATTAGACCTGCAGCCCCAAGGATCCATAAAGCTATAATTGGTGGCTGTTTTTCACTTTCACATTCTTCATTTCCAAGATAGAGGATCAGATGGTTACCTCAAGTACCGGCCCTACACTTATTTAATGTCTTTAATCTTGCTTATTGATTGTCCGCAGAGACGACCTTTTATGCTCTAAAAAGGTTGCAAACTAAGAAGAGAAAGATTGTTGATCGGCGTGCTTCAAAGAGTCGAAAGATCAGGTACATGCACGGGAGGGCTCATTTTCTGTGCTGTCATTTTCATCTCTAATAACCCAGAGCATTTCATTGATTTTTCCTCATCAATCACAATTTTCAGGTACAACATCCATGAAAAGATTGTCAATTTCATGGCTCCTCAGCCAATGAACATTCCTCCCATGGCCCCAAAAGTATTTGAGAATTTATTTGGATTGAAGACACAAAAGCCTGCTGTAGATTCATAACGTTGTTGATGGAATGTTTTGTTGGGGGAATTTTGTAATGTCATCCTCCAATAAACACTTGCATTTCTTTCTAGTTTACAATTTATTCCCTGGGATATATCCACTGTAAGCTTGAACTTGGTGATGTCAAATTCCAGATTTGAGCATGCATCGGTCTTGATTTCTTGAGCTCGAGATTAAAGGTCAAATAATTTAAATTAAATGCTCCTCTTAAAACTAAGTGTTTAGTGCCAAACGGCAGCCGCTTAAATGCTCCTCTCGGGCAGAATGGCAGGCATTAGTTGAAATCTTATATCAGTGAGTCATAACGTCTTGGTAAAGCAAACAGTGAGCTAGGAGCTTAGCGACTGAAATGGGGAAGACCGTTGCCTCATTTTACTTGAAAGATTAAAATGTTTTTTTATTTGAAAATATATAAAAATAATATTTTTTTATTTTTAAAAATTATCTCTATATTAATATGTTAAAATGATTTTTGAAGAATATAAAAGAATTAAATGAATTGTCGTCTGAAATGATGACAATGCAATGGCGATGGATTACCGACATTGGCCCAAGTTGATTTCTATGCCTTCTTACCTCTCTTTGTAAAATAGTTATCTTTTATCTCCTTTTTCTCACGGACAAAATTTACATTTACAATATCGTAAACACCATCTCTGTACGAGTAGCTCATTTGTGAAGTGAAAGAGTGCACTCAGAGTTCAACTTCTAAGAGTTTTCACATGTCAGTTCAATCTGAAGGTAAACAGAAAAAATCAAAATCATGGTAAGAACAAGGCCTTTCTTATGTATAGAAAAAGAAAATAAATATTTAAAAAGAAGCTGTTAATTCTTGAAGAGGCACTTCTTTAAGAAAAAGAAACCAAATGCGGCCTTATCTACTTCTGTTGTCAGTTGAGGACACTCTAAACAAGTGATCTTTTTTATCTTCAACAGCCAACGAACTATGTAGAGAGTTGAGCGCATACATGTTCAAAAGAACAACAAGTTTCACATAAAAAGTAGACAGAGTTAACATAGACAGCAGTTTTTGCTCTAAAGAAACCTCCCGCAGACAGTAAAATCAAAGGAAAATGCTTCTTCAAGCAACCATCTCATCATCTCCACCTCTACAACACCATCACCATCACCCTCACCCTCACCCTCACCCTCACCCTCTCCTCCCATTTGGGTTTCTCCAGTTCAGGCCACACAGGCTTTCTCTTCAGGTACACATTTCCAGTTCCTTTTTCAACCCTCATGGTCTTTCCAAGTTGAAATTTTTCACTTTCTTCATCATATTTTGCTGCCTTTTCTATTAGATCATGTTTTAGTCTTTCTCGAAAATTGGCATGGGGGCTCATCCTATTTGATAGGTCTTGAATTATGGTGGTATATTTTTACTGTATTTCTTTGAACATGCCATGATAATGGAGGGTTTATTTAATGTATGATTTAACATGTAGAAATATTGATATGAAAATAATATTACTTGGGAAAAATTTGCATATTTTTTCAGGCCCTTTTTCAGCACTATAGTTCACCAGATTTGACAACTTTCAGAGTAGGCCATGGACTGGACGTCACAGAGTTTCCTGATTTCCAGGTATGTGTTCCAGCAATCTCCTTGCTCCAATGGTGGCTACATTTGTATAGAAACCAAGTCAACTAGTAATCTGAACCTTAGCCTTTTTAAATCAACACTTAATGTTTTCTTTTACTCTATTTATTATAAAGTTTACCCTCTTCGTTAGGACAGAACTTCTCAGGACTGAAGGTTCTTTGGAGACTTTGTGAATTCATGGTTAGCAAAGAGTGGTTAGATTTAGAAAGTATGGTCTCCCCAGGCAGACACAGTATATGACAAGTTTTATTTAAATTCTGGGAAGAATTGGAGTCTCGTGCACAAATGAAGAGGATTGGAGGTTTGTTATGGGAGGGGAGTAGGGCGGGTAGCTTTGTTAGCCACATTTCCACGCTGGATCCGGCTTAGTTGTAGTGTTGAGGTCATCCTAGGGCTTGTTTCTGCATTGCTGAAGGAAGAGAGCGTATGCCTAGTTATTCTTTAGTATTGTGCTAAAGTTATGTTCTGGAGTCCCAGATTCTCATGGTGGTATAGAAGTGGGAACTGAAAGACATGTGTTGGTTTTCTACCACCATGAAGCTCTCATTATGAAGTATTGCAAGTTTCGTTTTAGGATGAGATTTCCTTGGAAGATGGCTCTGTGATCGTCATGACTACTAGACTTCTCTTGGACTCGAGTGAATTAGATGAATACTCCCTAGCATGGCCTAGGGTTGTCGGAGTTAAGCTTGAAGTTGTAGCAGTACAATTGGAGAAAACTGCAACTATGTGCTCAACATGAAGTGCATGGTAAGAGATGAAGAAAAGTGATTTAGAAAGGATGAGCTAGCAGACTTGAGAATTAAAACTTTGATTCCCTCAGAAAATTTTCTTTTATTGCAGGTTTGATTTGTACCTTGTATTCGAACTGTATTGGTATCTAATATTTATTTTTGTACAATAGCTCCTGGGTGTAGATCTCTTTGCAGTTCTCATCTTCCATAATCCTGCCTTCATTTCATATGTTGCATTACATAGGGTAAAGATTGTTAACTAATCATACAAAAGTTGGCTATTGTAACATAGACATGTCTGAGTGTGTAACCAAAATCATGGTCAACTAGTGCAATGCAAGGTTTTTATTATATCAGCAGAGAACCATTTTTCTTTACAAATTAGGATTTCCTCTCTTTCTTCTGTGGCTTATGCTGTGAACCTGCAGAATGATTTTCTTCATCGCTCTTACATTGGATCCTATAGCTTAACAAGTACTAAGATTAGTGCTCTCTTCTCACCTTAATCTTTTATTTCAGTCTGATTTTAGTGGCCAATTAATTTTATGTGTAGCTGATGCGATATATCTCTTACATCATATGTCGTAGAAGTTTTGTCAACAACTTCATATCCTTATTTTGTACTATTCTTATTAAATCATTAATCTGGCGTGTAATTTGAAGCCTCTCCTTGTTTTGTATTTTGTTAGTTGCTTGCAGAATAGCCCTTATACTTAGCAGTTGGGATCCTCTTAAAACGTACTATCATTTGATTCGTGTCCTGAGCTAATTGAATGATGGTCCAGATATATCAGTCTTGTTTGAGACGTAATCATGGTGATGAAAAAACCCACTAAGGAAATTTGTAAATGGAATGCATCTAGACATATGTATATGTGCGGGTGTGTGAACAAATGTTCTATAAATGGCGGGCACAATTCCGAGTAATCAGGAGTTAATAATTTCTTGAAGATTGGGAATTTCTAATTGAAATATAATGGACACTGCTAGACATGTGCACTCGTGCTCACTCTCACAGATTTCATCTGGTTCTGTTGACAATTTCGGTCTTCAACAATATGTTGCTTTGCTGGATCGTGTATTCCACTCTTATCTTCCAAATGCAATTCTGCAGATTTGTATACTGGGTTTATTTTTCCTTTCAGTGACTGCTTCCCGCCACCCCATATCATTTTCAAAATTGAAGTGTCGAAGAACATCATACTAACGATGGTCATTGTTTGGTGATTGATTTCCACATCCAATGAAGCCAATTCAACTTTCTACATATTCTTTTCCTATTTCAATAAGTGATCATGTAGTCAAATCAAAGATGTCTGAAGTAGCTATACTTGATAATGTATTGTTAACAGCCTATCCGAAATAAATGTTTATATTTGAGTTCATCATGTTCGGACTCCTCAAGAAGAGCTGCATGAAATTTCATTTTTTTTTTTTTTTTGTTTACTACCTTTTGTGGGAGGAAGGATCTATATTCATAGGCTAATTTTAGCAACATCTGCGGCTTCTTGGACATGCTATTTGCCTTTTTCCTACTGATTTCTCTTTTCTTTTTGTTTCCCATCCTCTCAACACCATAACTTATTGCAGAATCCTCGAGCAATCTTTGGAATATTGAGGATAATGTGTGCATGAAAAGAGTGATGGTTCGGGCTTCTGTGCTCTCATTTGGACAAATCTCATGGTTAACTTCAGCTCAAGTGGCACATGCAGGAGAAAGTATCAAACCAGAAGCAATTTATGAGGTTGGGGAGTTATTTGAATTTGGAATCCAGCTCTCTTATCTGCTTTTACTATTAGCTTTGCTTGGGGTTGGAACTTTCTTTGTTATTCGTCAAGTCCTAACGCGTAGAGAGCTCGACCTTTCTGCTAAAGAATTGCAGGCAAGTTCCTCTTTTTTAATCTGTATTATGCTTTCCAAGAGTTCACTCTTCCTGCCACTGACATTTATTACAAAACCGTCTTGGAAATTCTTAGATATTTAGATGGAGAGGTTAGTTTGTTTAGAAAAATAGATCCACTTGGTTTCTCTCTCACCTTCCCCAGCACTCCCATCTCTTGTTTGATAGTCATAACAGGCATTGGCCCTCTGCATTTTGTTTAACATGATCTTATTATCTTGTTGTGTTTTCTCCTTATAATTTCAGGAGCAAGTAAGAAGTGGTGATGCCATTGCAACTGGGCTTTCTGAACTCGGTGCAGTAATGCTGAGGAGAAAATTTTACCCTGCTGCTACTAAATATTTACTTCAGGCAATTGAGAAATGGGATGGTGATGATCAAGATCTCGCCCAGGTATGATTGCCTCGGGGTAATTGCTTCTGATTTGATCTAACGCTTTCGTGTATTGCCTTAGGAAATGCCAAGCAACAGCATTTTTTATTTTTATTTTTCACTAACAAAAGAAGGAAAAAGAAAATTTCATATGCTCAATCATACTTGATGGTCAAGTTCATATTTAGATTACTGTCTACGAATACATTTACCGAATGGTTTGAGTTGGTTCACTGTATTTTGGAATCACTGCAGTCTGTTACTGCAATCCTGTCCCTGTGTGCATTGACACACCAAGAAAGTTGCCTGCATGATACACTGAGAAAGTTGTCAGGGTCTGGTCTTGGCTTGCAGGAGTGGCCCAGTGGGTAATCAACTTGCAAATTATGAACAAAGACTAGAAATGAGAACTGAATTTCCCTTTTTCTCGAGCAATTAAGACAAGACAGGGAGTACCCTAGTCTGTCTTTCGAATCAACATGATAACTATTCTCGTGCATGATTTTGGTGATGAGTTCCTTTCTGCCTGCCAAATATTTGGATAGGTTTACAATGCCCTTGGCGTTAGTTATGTTCTTGACGGGAAGCTTGACAAGGGAATCAAACAGTTTGAAGCTGCCGTGAAGCTTCAACCAGGTTATGTCACAGCCTGGAACAACCTCGGTGATGCCTATGAAAAGAAAGACCTGAAGTCAGCACTCAAGGCATTCGAAGAAGTTCTACTTTTTGATCCTAACAATAAGGTGGCAAGACCCAGAAGAGATGCCTTGAAGGATAAGGTACAAATGTACAGAGGAGTTCCCATCAAGTCTAAGGATGGATGAATCTACTAGCTACTGTCATAAGATTATCAATTTTTTCTTTCTTTATAAATTTTGTCATCTTAAGCAATGCTGAACTTTTCTTCCTCTAGTCAATTTTTGTACCTTTTCCAAAAATTACATGTCCAGACTCGAACATCCTTTGCTTTTATATCTGGATGACTGAATGTATAATTTTTAGAAATTGTTATTTTTTTTTCAAATAAAAAATCTTCTTTTAGACAATAATGAAACTATTTTTACAACCCCGAACAATCCCGGTCGTTATTTTGTTTTTTTCTCACATTACCTCTGAAGCAATCCAGGAAAAACATCACGGACATGAAATTACAAAAACTTGAAAGACATGCCACGCGGGTTAAATATTTTTATTTTTTCTAGAAAAATTATTTATGTAGATTTTTTAATGTATTTTGACAATTCAAAAAATATAATAAATTAAAAAATATATTTTTATGATAACCACAGTTATCAAATTCAATTTAAAAGTTAATCTAGCCAAGAAATCAGGTCTTCAATTACATGAGTCAATTACATGAGTCAATTACATCAATTACATGAGTTGACTCAGGTCAAACTCATGAGTTGACTCAGGTCAAACTCATGATGTTTATATATATATATATAATTTTTTTTTTGAACTTAGAATATATATACTAAAAAATTTTAAATTTCACATTGAAAAAATATATTTTTTTTAATATTTATATAATAAAATTTAAAATAAATTAGTAATTAATTAAAAAACATATAAAAAAAAAGATACGTAGGAAGGAGAAAAACAAGATTAAAAAAAAAAGACTATCAAGTTTTTATCAAGTTGACCTATTTTCTTCGGCTTAATTACAAGCTCGGATTTCAAATGAAACAAACCCCGCTGACCCTACTGGACTCTGGTGGGAGCAGAGTCCACCACTGCTAGATCCTGATGTCAGCTGGGCTCATCTCTGCTGGGTCCCAGTGGAAGCATTCATTATATGCCCAAGCTATATTAAAAAGGCCTGTAAAGTTCCAAGCTATCATTTTGTAATTTCACTTTTAACTATTATTGATTAAAAGTGAGCTATTTTTAAAATATTTTTTATTTAAAAATATATTAAAGTAATTTTATTTTATTTTACATCTTCATATAATCAATAAATATATTAGGATTTCCAGTTCAAATGCATACAAACATCACATGACACCAAAAATAGTAACAGGTTAAAAATTGGTAAGTTTTCGTCTCTGTTTGCTTGGAATTAGACACATAATTCAAACCTACACAGACACCGAGTCACACTAGAGATAACTTATGAAGGCAGTCAGATCTTAGATAAGTTTTGCCATCACTCAGGGCCAAAGTTTTCCCAAAAAACACCGGCAAAAGCAAAACCTGCAATCAAATCAGTCATCACATATTGCATTCCGACGGTCACCAACTAGGAAATTAAAAAATATAAGAGAACCCTCAAGAAGATACATCATAGCCATGTTCCCTTTTATAAACAACAGTGATAATGGGACATGAGAGACCCTTTGAGATGATATCATAGCCAAGTTCCAATTCATGGATACAGTGATAATGGACTTTGAATACAGGAATTTTGGCTGCATATTCCACAGATAAAATTCAAGCAGATAGCACTCACCCTTTTTAATAAGGAATTACAAGAATGCTAAAGATAAAATAAGAACCAAAAACAAAAGTATACTTTGTTGTATCCGCTGCAGATGAGGCAGTACAAAATTTACTAGCATGAAAAATTGTGAGGCAAGACAGTACAACGAAGATTTGCAATGGTGTGATTCTGCTTTGTGATTATCAATTAGTTCGGAGTTTTTCTCTCCCATCAGCTGCCATGCATTTTAGAAGCAGTATTACTTTCCATTTCGTTATTTTTTTATTCTCTGTTCTACTATATTTGCATATGCTGTTTGGTTCAGTTTCTTTGGCCTCATAATTCCGATTCTGCAGTGTGCAGCTTAGAACATTATGTAGAAATGTTATTCCCAGCAAATCAGCTTTCCATTCTAAAATGATAATAAGAGTTATTCCCGGCAAACTACACACAAATCAGCTTTCTAGTCTAAAATGATAATAAAAGTTATTCCCAGCAATCTGAATGAACAAGTAGTTCTACGTGCTCTTAACCACAAGCAGCTCTTTAATATAAAAGTCAAAAAGAAATCAACTGGAAGCAGTTGCACTGGTAGCTCATGAATTTATTGGTAGGAGCACATAAAAGAGAAGTATTGTACCTTATCAGCGACAACTAGGCAAGTCAAACACGTTTCAACGCCCTGCTGAGTGATAGTCCCATAGATGCCCACTTCCTGGAGGGTGAAAAATTTAACACCCTCGCCTCCAGTCTTTGCGAGGATTGATTTACTTGGGTTTTCATGTGGAAGGATGGCTTGACAGCAAAGCTGCATCCCGAAATCGAAAATGTATGGAAGGGCCGCCTCCCACAACAATATGGAGAGGATGGTATTCCCTTCACAAAATTAACAGGCAAAATCAAACTATTTAACAGGACAAGAGTTGTAACAATAATAGAAAAGGAAAGAAAACATATCATGTCTACCATTCTCCATGGTCTTAAATAAGATTAATTAGAAATCATTTAATGATACTCGTATATGTAAAAGGATAAAGCATTGGAGTTTTTCTTCTCTATATACCACAACACCCAGGCGTAGACTCTCTTGATTGATTGTGAAAAGGAGAGTAAATTTTCATTGAAAGATTTGAGCAATGCACTAATCGTCATCTGAAAGAGTCCTTGTAGACTATCTATAATAAATTCATAGTCCGTAGGGTTACTCGAGATGCGCGCAAACTAGCTGGAATACTCATGTTAATTAAAAAAACATGAAGCTCAAAAGCATTCAATACTTGTTCTTACACAAAACAGAAATCCTACTAATCGTAGTTGACTAATCTTATTGAAACTCAAATACTAATCACACAATAACAAATTTCAAATAACACTAGGATTTCTCAACGACAAGAGAAAACCCAAACTATCATAAACTTTTAGAAACAAAAATAAATCCTGCCTCACATTGTCCCGGCCACTCACTGCAAGAAATAGTTGGAAACAAGACCAACCCCACAACGCTAAGCCAACGTACAGATTAAGAATATGCAAGAAATCATATTAAAAATAAATCTCACCTTAAACGCATATGCGATTTGACGCTCCACATCTGTGACGCGATTGTATGAATAATAAGAAATGAAATCTACACGTAACAATTTTAGGAACATCATTAGTCAACAGTCTTCTATTATGCTCCCTAATCCCCGTCCACCTTTCCTTCCATCCCCACAAAGCAACAAAAATAATAAATGAGAAGATTAAGTTAATAATTACCTGATGGTGATTCTCCTTCATCTAATTCATACTCTGAGCACCTAATGCAACTCCA